TCTCTCTCTCCCTCTCTCTCTCTCTCTCTCTCTCTCTCTCTCTCTCTCTCTCCCTCCCTCCCTACCGTTAAGTAACTTGTGCATTGTTTTACTTACTTGTATTTGATGTATCCGACCGAACTACAAACTTTCCAGTGATGTCTGTGAGAAAGGGATATTAACTCGACAAGCTTGCGCATGTGCGCCGCCGCACGCTCAACCCACTCTGCGTGCTTTGCTTATCAGCTTGCACTTATCGCATGCTGTGTGGTATCGGCGTTTGGTATCGGGGCATTTTAACGAGTATGAGTACAGGAGCTCAGTATCGGGCCCGATACCAGTATCGGTATCGGTATCGGTGCATCCCTAGTTTTAACTTTAGATTGGCTACTGCAAAAACATGAACAAATGATTAAAGATGTGTGAATAGGGTAAATCCAGGTCTTTCTGGACACTTTCTGCCATTCAGATGACTGCTCATAAAGATACTAATGATTAGTAAACATTTATAAACATTTGCAAATGATGAATAGTTTCCACTTTAGATTGAGTGCTGCAAACACATGAACAAATAATTAATAGATTATTTAAGATGTGTAAATAGAGGTCTACACAACAAAGAAAGACCAACAAATGAAGATCATATTAACTAAAAGTTTACTGACATTTGTAAGCATTTCAATTTACATTAAATAATCATATGTTAATCATTAGGTAATGTTTAGTAAGTTCATTAGTAAACATTAACAAGAACATTATCTCATATTCTAGCTATGTGAATATTTATTAACTAATGATCTGTTAAGCATTATATAATGTATGTTAATGATTTATAAATGAAAGTTATTATAAAGTGTTACCCAAATGAAGATATTTTTAATGAAACCTGAGAGCTTTCTGTCCCTCCATTGAAAGTCCAGGTAACCAAAACTTGAAATGTCATAAAGGTGTTGTTAAATGGATCCATATGAATTGAGTGGTTTAATCCAGGTCTAGTGAAGAGATATGATTGCTTTGTGATGAACAGATTTAATTTACTTACAAATAAACACATATGGTAAACACAGAAACATATGTTTGAGCTTCCGTGTTCACAATATGTGATGTGTATGTGTCAATCATTGTTTAGATGTAAATAAAAGACTAAAATTAAATCTGTTCATGAAGCGTGCATAAAGTGATCATATCTCTTGACAAGACTTCTATTAAATCGCTCTATTCATATGGATTAGTTCTACGACACCTTTATGAAGTTTTGGTTACCTGGACTTTCCATGGAGGGACAGAACCCTCTCAGGTTTCAAAGATTAAACTAAGTCTCATGGGTTTGGAACGACATGAGGATGAGTAAATGATGACAGAATTTTCATTTTTGGGTGAACTATTGATGTTATGTAATTTCAGCCATATATTCATGTACATTGAAACAAAACATTCACATTGCATTTGGACAATGAAAACAACAGTGAACAACACTCTACAGCAATAAAAACTAAAGATAATCTTTAAAAAAAAATGAAACGGTAGGGATGATCAGAGGTCAAGGATAAATATAGTGTACATTGCAAATTGTACATGCTGTAGCTGATGCTTTGGAGTAAGATGACAAGTGATTGCTGTGTATAAGCAGTTCAGTACAAGCATTATAATCACAGAAGTTATAATTATATTTGTGTTCATATACTGTCATAGTAGCAGTAATTATTATTATAAAAAACATGATTATAGAGTAGTGCAGAGTGGCGCTCTCATTAACAGTGACCCTTTTTGGTTGCATTTTGTGTTGATGGAAATCTGTTTTTGGTTTTGATTGACAGGTGCAGCAAGGAAGCCCCTCCTCCATCGGCTCAGTAAACACAGACCACTCCCACTCCTCCTGTTCCCACAAGCCAGCTTCTACACACACTCAGCACCGAGCCACACAGGTAACACACTACCAAAAACACACTCGCCTTCGCAGACACTTTCAGATCCTCACTTTGACATCCACCTTTATTTGCTCTTTCTCAGTCTGAGTTGACAATGGAGAAGTTAGCAGCGCTGGAGAGCAGTAAGAGCTCGGATCTGGAGAAGAAAGAGGGACGTATTGACGACTTGCTTAGGGTACGACTTTGTTCACGCACAGAGCGGTGCTGTTCAGTTTACACTTCTGATCAAAAGTTCAAGTAAATGCCGTTCTTTTGAACTTTCTATTCAATTAAGCATTCTGAAAAAATGTATCATGGTTTCCATAAACATATATTAAGCAGTAGAACTGTTTTCAGTATTCATAATAATAAGAAATGTTTCTTGAGTGGCAAATCAACATATTAGAATGATTTCTGAAGGCTCGTGTGACACTAAAGACTGCAGACATGCTGATCATAAGAAACCTCGTTCATGGACATAAAAAATAAAATAAAAATTACCTACTTCTAACCTTTGATGCCCAAAGCTGTGACTGTAATATGAATCTTTTCACTTGGAGTCAATCAAATGTTTTACATGAATGAGATATGGTTTATAAGACCTATCAGGTTTTACACTGCTGAGAATACACAATACTTATGTTGGGGCTTTTGTGTGCTGCAGGTAAACTGTGACCTGCGCAGACAGATCGATGAACAGCAGAAGATGTTGGAACGATGTAAAGAACGACTCAATAAATGTGTTACCATGAGTAAGAAACTTCTTATTGAAAAGGTAAACGTATGTTCAGAGTATATGCAATGGTTAATGTGTGGTGGTGTTGTGTATGTATGTTTTTCGTTTTTATGATGGATGTGTAGTTTTTATCCAGTTTAAACAGTGCATTGCATGTCCATGGTAGTGTTCTCTGTAATTGCTGAATTGTGGGAATGTTTTCAGTCCAAGCAGGAGAAGATTGCATGCAGAGAAAAGAG